CCAAGCTGAGGCCCCGGCGGTGGCCGAGGGCTCGCTGTCGGTTCTGGACAGTAGGCAGGGCTGGGATCTTGGCCGGCTCAAAGGCGGACGGCGTCGAGTTTTGCCGTCGGTGGGTCGCGCGTTGGCGGGCCTGAAGATTGCGGGATGGAGAGGACAGCATTGTGTCGCAAGGTCGAGTCCGGAGGGGATTGTCGTCGGTTGAGGTTGTCGAAGGGAACCTTTGGGTCCGAAACTGGGGGCCGTCTCGTCAGTGTCATTTCCATCATGGCAGCAGCCGCAGCAGTAGCAGCAGCAGCAGAAGAAGAAGAACCAGCACCAACCTCACGCAGCGCTAGCAGTGGCTGCCGGGCAAAGGGGGAGAGCTTAGGTCGTGCTCAGCAGAGGTCGGGCTTTGCAGCTCAACGGGGTGGACGGGAGAGAGGCCTCCTCAGGCCTGGGGAGACGGGAGATGGACGAGCAGGTAGAAGGGCCTCTCGAGACTGGCAGTGTTGGGATGCGGTTTTGGATGGAGCAGGTGACGCTGGCGTCAGGCTTGGGTTTGGCAGATGTGGTGATGCAAGAGTGGTGGTGGTGAGGAAGAGGAGGTGCAAGATGGAGGAGGAGGATTCCACTTTCTGCAAATAGTCTGGGCGGGTATCTAAGGCAGGAAAGAGGAGACGGAGACGAGGCGTTGAAGGCAGGTAGCATCGAGGGTCTTTGGGGGAAGTCATGATTGTTGACTGGGTCGAGGCGCGTCACCACGGCAACCGATGGCGATGGCGACGGGGCGGGCACGACCCAGCGCCGGGCCATGATCCGCCCTCCTGCTCCATCCTGCGTCACCTTGAGACATGGCTCTCTTTTAGCACCGCCTTGGCCTGTCCCTTGGTTCGGTCCTGCCTGCCAGGTTGGCTGAGGCCTTGGCGGAGGCCATGGCTGGATCTCGCAGCCGCCTCGGTTTGCGTTTGCATCGCGTGGGACGGCCTTAACTTTAGCCGCTTTGGGAGCTTGGAGCCACTGAGGCCTCTGTGGAAGCCGCTGTTGCCTGCGCCCATTGCTCCCAACTCAACGCACCAGGGACCATCCAAGATGCTTCCTTCTACCATCCAAGATGCATCACACTCGACAACATCAACAAGCACCCAACATATCGTTTCACACATCTCGCCCTTGAGCCCCCCGCCTGGCACGGCCCAAGACGGTCCATGACGGCCCAGCAGTCAAACCCTGACACCGACCGAGCTGACACCTGCCTCGGCGGCTATGGCTTTCTTCAACGCTTGTCTCCCTCGGCCTCTCCCTCGCCTCTGACTCTGCCTGGCCTGTCTCTGATGTGCAGTCGCCCTTGCCGACCAAAGAAGATGAACGGGAAACGCGTGGGTTTGCTGATTTCCAGGTCGCCGGCCCAGATGCAAAACAGCGCAGGGCCACGACGGCACAGCAAGATGGCCTCTTCGTCATTTGTCCTCCCCTTCTCCCTCGTCCGCCAATCTCAAGTTCTGGTTGCCAGGCGACAATGCTCTGGACTCGAGCCGCTTTGTGAAGCCGACAGAGCCCCGGCGCGTCTGCCAGGTGTCATCACATCATGCCGACACACCCAATGACGGGGGCGATTCGTCGAAGACTCGTCCACCATTCGTCTCTTTTCTCTCGATGCACCTCTACAGCACGACGGCCGAGGACGGCGACATTGGCGGGGGCTTGCCGGGGATCCGACCTTCTCTGTCCGAAAAACTCTCCTTGAATCACATGTCCCGTCCCATCTCCGCGCAATCGTGTCTCTTGCCATGTCCCGACAGACCGACGGTTTGAGTGCAACCACCCCTAATCCCAGGGTCCACCCACACACATACCCGCCTCAGTAGGTAATCAGCTGTTGTGATGCGCCTCAGTCCAACGCGTGATGATGATGATGATGACCCGCCCTCCGATGGCAACGGCACTTGCACCCAGGCGCCTCCCAAGCAGCCCGCGACGGCCGGCACTCGACGGCCGACAGCCGATGGAGAGGGGGTCAAGGTCTCTGCATCGCCCTCGCTAAGCTTGGTCGCGATCCAACGTCCTGAGACACACGCGTGCCAGTCAACGAGGCACTGCACCACGCAAAGCAGCTGAGCCTGCCGCAGCCCAGTCTCGATGCGTCGATATGCTCTCCCCGCTGCTGGGCGCCTGGCGAGCGTCTCCACGTGCTCAATAGTCGTGCCGACGGTCTGTTGCGCTGCGTTGCTCTTGTCGGCATTGTCATTGTTGTGCCATGGCAGCGTCGGTATCGGTCGAGCACCGCGCGCCCAAGGAATGTTGAAGCTCGGGTCGGTTGGTCGTTGGCCTGCCAGAACCTCGACGTGACGTCGCTGATCCTACCATGGAGCACCTTGCCCTGCCAGTCAATTTTTTCCTGGGAACTGCCCGTGAAGCCCGGCTCGTCCGACGCCCCGTCCTTTTCGTTGCATCAGCCACTTTGAATTCGGGATCGGGCCTCTAGGGAGACCACCTCCCTAGCACCAGCCTCAAGTTCCTTTTACCAACCCTCCTTGGTCTCCCACAACAGAACGGTAACCACTATCGCGCAAGCCGTATCAGACATATTGATGACCTGCGCGCTGAATCAAGTCATCCTAACTAGCTCTGGCCGACTGGCCGACTGGCCGGCTTTGACAGCCGGCATATAATGTCAACTACTGAAGTGCTTGAGTCACTTTCGGTCGCGGGACGTGATGCCTCGAAACAAGTCCGTATCTAAAGTGTTTGGTCCCTCATTGTGTCATTTTCATCGTCTTCTGTATTCCGCATCGTCTGCGAGATCCATACAATATAGCTACATGGCTCTTTCATTGAATCCGGTCCGGGCATCAGAAAACACATCTCATGTGGGGGCGGCCTTGATCTCAGCTGGACCCTTGGTGCCAACCTCACCAGACCGCGTAAACCATCACCCGGATTTGCTCAAACAAATTATCACACTTGCATTTACCTGACCTGGCAACAATACTTGAGTGTTTCCGTGAAGTTTGATTTATGTCAAAGCCGCCGTAGAATTATTCGCAAATACCTTTAGCGATCATAGCCTCCATTCGATTGGGGACACCCATCAGTAAGGGTAGCGAATGTGACATTTTGGCCTACGTCACTATCAGACACGCATGGTGACAGAACAGAACTGGCATTGGCAGGCTATTGCTATCCCAAAGAAAAAAAAAGGAAAAAGAGAAAAAAAAACCCCTCCCATGGCAAGGTACGAGACAAAATTTGATACATTATCCCAACGAGGTCCAGCGAAAAGCCTTGCTCCAGATACCCACTGCAGACCCCACGGCGCAGTTGAAAGACGCATACATCCGACACATTTCGCCTCTGTAGTCGCGTGCCTTGCAATCGCGTCTTTTTCATGCTGATTCGCAACACCTCCTTCACTGTCTTGGTCTTGATTTTCGAAAACCTTGTGTTCAGAGATGGCTCGCGTTTGATGTCAGACTGACCCATAACAGCTTAGACACCTGGTGGCCAGAATCTGCTGAGCAACAAGTTCTGGAACGCAGATGCGGCAAGCTCGCCTCGTGCTAGGGCAGCTTTGTAACCTCACCGCCGGGGCGTTTTTCGATGGAGTCGTACGCCACGTCGAATGGTTTTTTGTACGTCAGGGCATCAGCAACGTCGCCTCTCCGGAAACAGGCCTCAATTAAGGAATAGTCATCTGATGGTGCCTCCGCTTCTTTCAAGAACCTGTTCCGGGTCTTCCTCTCCCCATAGCAGGTTGTCAACTCCTCCCACTTTAGTTCGTTAAACAGTGCGAGCATAAAGTAAGTTTGGAGAGTGAGGCGATGTCGCCGCTGAGGCTGTATCGGGGCTTGTATGCGCGCAAAGCAGTCGGGCATCGAGCCCTGTCTTGAAATTTGTGAGTAGGTTTTGCTCTTGTTGTTTTTCTTCTTTCATTACTAGGCCTCCTCTGTCTATCTTGTAGGCTTTAATTGAAGAGATCTTGCAAAGAAGAGCAAGTGCCCGTTCAGGACATCCGATACACCCCTTCATCCTCAGAGTCGGCTCTCGACGGCAGTCAACACTGTGTTCATGTG